AAAGTGTGCCCTAATGTCCTAACGAGCTCTATGTTGTCTGAGCTTCAGGCGATACCCGTACGTGTGATCCGACGTAGATAACTTACACAGATGAGTGAGACTAATACCACTAAGTCTCTTAATTGTCTTAAACGTCTATCAAATCCCCACGCAACCTACGCCCTTCCAAGGAAAATAATCCAGAGCTACTTAGACGATCTTCGTACGATTTCCCTCGTTGGCCTTCGATCAGCCTGGTCGCAAGTTTCTGAATCTTTACTATACACTACGGAGGTACGGTGCCCAGGTCTGAACACAGTACTTCAGATGTGGCCTAACCACTGCCTGATATAGCATCATCACCATCATCATACACGTTAGCTAGAGGTGGGGAACACCTCAGCTGCTGTGCTGCAATACACAGAAAAAAGGAGAGGAAAATGTAACTGGTGCAAGCCGGCTGAGCTACTGGTAATGGGTGGGCATCGTTCCGGTAAGCTACCAGCCGGCTACTGTGCATCAAAAAATACTATGCAAAATTATATAAGGCTAAACAATGAGATCGTGGTTGGAGGGGGAGGCTAAGACGGATGGGGTGGGACAAAGAAACAGCACGAACCCAACTGAGGTCGACTCCTAGCCATATCAACAAGTGTATCCAGCCAAACATGTTCATCGTCTTTCGGACCCCAACCATGGAGCCGAGACGCTCCAATTGAGGCCAGCTTCGCAGTGAGGGCCTTCATTCCTCTCGACCAAGTCATCACTTGATCTGCTCTCTTCGTCTTCCATCCACACCCCCGGCGCGCAAACAACGCACGTCGCGGGAGTCGGTGGGCTGGCATGCCTAACACGTGGCCTAGCCATCGAAGCCTGGTACGTGAAATAACAATGCTGAATGGTTCATTTCCTTTTCCTGTGCCGTAAAAATGGCGTCGAACACGCTCGTTGCTCACGCGGTGTTCCCACCAGATATGAGCTAAATTGCGAAGGCACCGGTGGTCGAAAGTAACTAGCCTCTTTATGTCCGCTGATCTAAAGGGCCAGATTTCACAACCGTACAGTAGGGTCGAACGTACGCTGCATTGTACACCCTACCTTTCAGGGCGAGAGTGAAGTCGCGCCGGCGCCATAAGTGGCGAAGGTTAGCAAAAGCGCTCCGAGCTTTTGCTATACGGTTCGTGATCTCATCCTCAATCCCACCGGCGTTGATACAACTTCCCAGGTAGTTGAATTTTTGAACGACTTCTAGCTGATCCCCACCAAGGGTCAGCGTAGGAGGCGGTCCAGACCAATTTTGGAAGAACACTTTGCACTTCGAGGGTGCAAAGCAAAGCCCGAAGTGACGGACAGCCAGTGCTAATCTGTCCAGTGCCGCTTGACACGTTTGTGAGCTGTCACAGATTAGGGTAATATCATTAGCATACTACAAGTCAAGAAGTCGTTCTCCTGGGAGCAGCTTCACACCTTCAAAGTCGTTTCCTGTGAACGCGATTTCCATGACTTCGTCAACAGCGAATTTGAAGAGGAAAGGTGACAGCGAGCATCCTTGTCTCAAGCCGCTGGAGATATTAAAGGGCGACGACAACTTGCCGTAAGCCCTCACTCTGCTCGAGTTACGCGCATATAATACTCGGATAATATTTACCTATTTCTCAGGTACACCTTTCCTGAGTAGACAGTCTCAAAGGGCACTTCGATCAACCGAATCGAAGGCATCTTTGATGTCCAGAAACACGACAACGGTGGGCCGCCAATATGTGTGACGGTGCTCCAAAGACTGACGATTTTGACGAAACCCGGCTTTTCACAAATGTGGCTTTCCCAAGTGCCAGGTGGTTTTTGAAGGATGACACAGGCAAGCAATTTGGAGGTGATGGAGATCAGACTGATTCCTCTATGGCTGCCGCATTTTGGTCGTAAGCCTCCCTTGCAATTTGGTATTATGACGGAGCGACTGCATTCGGTTGGGACAGTTTCCTGTTCCCACAATTCTACTAGTAGCTCGTATAAGTCATCCACAAGAGCAGGTCCCCCGAATTTGAAGAGGGCTGGAGGTAGATCATCAGGTTCGTCGGCTTTATTTAACTTCAACAGTTCGACCTCACGTTCGACTTCTGAGCGAGAGGGTGGATCCATAGGAACAGCTCAGGGAGCGGGGCGATCAAGTGCATGGTCGGTGTCCACACCTGTGCTCCAAATCGAGCGACAGTTCTGGACGCAGCCTCTCCATCGGTAACTTATCGCAATGTGGTCGATTTGCGTCCATAGCTGGTTCGAGGCTAGTGGGCGTCAAGTCACCCTCTGGCGGGTGCTGTGTCTGAAATCAGTGCTCGCAAGAAATAAGCGAGCATCCTCACACAAATGAAGTAACTGCTCACCGTTATCATTACAGGAGCCTATACCATGTTGGCCGCGCAGATGCAGCTCATCTGTGGATAATTTTCCAACTTGAGCGTTCAGATCCTTAGCCAGCACTACAGTGTCCAAGTTTCTTCTGTGGCTAAGGAGCTTGATATAGCGGCAAGAAAACTCCTGCTTTTGTGTTACTCAGTGGCCTCCTAAGGCGAAACAACTTTTGTCGCGCTTTATTGGCAACATGGCGACACTGGGCCGAAAGCTTAAAACTGTTCACTCATGGTCGGACCTATGACGTATTACCGGACGCACTTTCGTGCATCCAATCGACCAATTCCTTCTCCAAAGTACCCACCCTGTTTTCAGCATGCTGCCAATCAGGTTGGGGAAGGCTTAGGTCACCAACAATCAGGAAATTATGTGCGGTCATCGCCGTCTGTCTTGGTAAGGTACCAAGATCCTTGTCCTCTTCTCGCGTGGAGGATGGGCTGCGATCGACACATTCTATACTCTCCAATCTACTGCAGGCTCCTCGAAAGCAAGATACCACCTGAACGTTTGCAGAACTCATGGTAAATGGTGCTTCGCAGTGTTTATATTGGCACTTTATAAACAAGGGGACTTCTTCATCAGTCTGATGCCATCAGCTAGGTTGCACGCGAAGTCTATAAGCAGATCACTAATAGGGTCATCTGGAGAAATCTAGGACTCCGAAACAGCAGCCACAACAACATGCTCACAACTCATCACTAACTCTCCCCATTTGTTACGTACACTACAGCAATTACTATACCACATGCTTAGCCTCTCCGGACGCGGTTGTTTCCCTTCTGGCTGTTCGCCAGAGGGGACAACCTGATATTTTGTGCCATTTTATTTCCGTCGGCTGCCTGAGTCGATGAATCAACGCTTGGCTGTTGTAAAGCATTACGGGATAATCCCTTTGTTGACTTCGCCCGCCTTGGTTTGCTGGATAAACTCCCGACGGGTTTTCTCCCAGTTAACTGAGTCGGCCTAGCAGCACTGTACTTCGGGTCCACCTTAGTTATGGCAAATTTTTCATTTCCCATACCACTTTTGAAATTTTCATACCAATCATGGACTTTGGTGCCACTGCTGTCGAGCGTGAGGCCACAAATGTTTTTGAACGTACCGCCTGAAGTCCCATAGCTGCATCTTCACTACCCTCTTGCGTCTCCATCAAGAGCAACCTTCCCCACAAATACAGGCCACGAGTTACTTCACTAACGTCTTGTGGGGAGTAGTGTCCAGAGCAGCTCACCGCACTTGCCATAGAAGAGCAGTCGCTAGCGGTTTCCTTAAGTGTCTGCGTAACGTGAGGCTCACTATAGCAAATTGCAGCGTGCGAGGCCGCAGATTCGTTAGCCAATCTGGTATTAGTGTTTTCTAACCGGCTCATCCATGGGGCCTTCGAAGTTAATGTGTACGGTGTTATTTGATATCAACCCTTTGTCTGACTCGCCACCAACCCTGCCCTGTCCCGGTGTACAGGGTTCCTAAACGCAACTAGGATAGGCCTTGCATAACCTTGATGGCGAAGCATACCTGTTTCACTCCAGCTGCCAACACGATGTACTCTTTTGATACCGACATATAACGGTATTCCGGCTATGCGAAGGATATCGCGCACTCGACTCCTATCTATGTCCAGTCGAGTTTTAGCTTCGCATATGACTGGCTCCCCCCTAATGTAGGCAAGAATGTGTCGTTGTCTACTGATAACAAGTTCTGCACTTTCCAAGTAAGATTCCAATGAAGACTGCAATTCATCGAATTTGAACGTAATATCTCAATTAGCAAGCTCTAGTCACGAATCAACTTTTTCGCAAAGCCCTGTCCGCACGAGTGACCAAAATGTGTCCACTGGTGTGACCTTTGGACGTCCCTGAGTAACTAATCTTTGTGCCCCCGGCCGTCTCAATTAGACACTTTTTGGTCACTCAACAAATTTCGTGCGCAGCTTTAGTGCAGCCCCGCAATATTTTCCACTAGTCGCAATTACTCACAGCACTGAATTCTCGGTATATGGGTCTATGTTGAGCTTCGTGCAAAGCCATTTTAAAAACTAATTACACCATTACATGAACAAGGTGTATTGTAAAGTGAATAAAAGTACATAATGAAATACCGATGCACCGGGTGCAAACAACGTTCATGCCTGGTGTAGCTTCAGGAATTTTGGCTTTCAGCTCTAGATCACTGGGCCCGAAAGTCAACAAATAGTGGGTCATTACGAAACTTGTGAAAGCCAAAGTGCACCGATAGAAAGATACGATATGGTGATATCTGTGGACTGTGTCCACAGATGCAAATAAGGCAAATGAAAACGGTGAACATCTACGTACACTGATGTACACATCACTATTATTACAGCTGAACACAATGACATGCTTATTTGAATGATCCGCATGTGCAGTGTCTATATACAAAAGACGACACGAATAGCCGAAGTAGTTGGAAACGAAATGAAACCATATTGCATGCGCAGGTTAACTGTTACACCCCACGGAATCTCATTCCATACGTAGAAAACATGAAAGTATGCTCGACGGGATAGCATGGAGTACGGTTATGTAGTAACGCGAATGGCAATGGTTATGTATATTACATGACACAGTGTAGATTCATCGTTGCCCACTTACTGTAGCCTGCGGTGCTACGATGAAAAAAGGTCCTGCTCGGCGGGTGAGGTACGTTGGACACGTTCGTGAGCTCTCTGAGGCCACCGACGTAGTCGACCTTTAACGTTCTTCTGTGCAGCTATGCATCCCCATCCGTACTACTGCATCTAGAACATGGAGATCAGGTGATATATTGGGGACTAACTGATGATTGCCCGGGTCAATCTAGTCTCGAAGAAGGAGTATTTTGTGCGAACACAGCGCCAGTTCAATTTGTTAGTCAGCTAATCCGTGCAGGCAGCCTGCATGATGCTGAGCACTGCTGTCGAAACGGTATTGCCGCCGGTCATGGTGAAGTAGTTAATCAAAAGTAAAAGCATACATAAGAGGCGTCATACCAACTGGGCCATGGTAGTGCGGCTCTCTAGCGGTCGATCTAATGATTGCAGCTCCTCCCTCAACGGAAACGGTACAGGGTATGCGCTGATCTTGGCGTCAGCTGACAAGTGAAAGCGAATGGAGGACATAGTTAGCTTCAAGGAGTGAAGTTCCTCCCAAATTCTAGCGTTGTCGCTGGCATGTTTCGCACAGTACTGCGCATATATGGTTTGATTGCCAGCATTGACTGGTGCAACACACAGTTCCGTTGTTACAGAATGATCGTGCTGTGGTAGATCAATTTGAAAGGTGAAGCGAAAGCGCTAAGAAGTATCTAATAATCTCACCTTGATGCGAAGGGGCTTGTAATTGGGGAACGCTTCCCAAGGTAGCCAAAGGTGTCCGCTGAGGGACATCATCCTCCAAATCCATTATTCATCATTATACACGCTAGCTAGAGTTGGGAAACACTTCAGCGTTCCGTCAGTTGACGGAGGATAGGTGTGCTCCTCCAAGAAGGGCGCGATACGTTTGGCCTTTTCGTAATCATCTGCAAACATCATTATAACAGATTATGACACAACATTTAAGTGGATAGTCTCAACCGCAAAGCGTTTCACCGCCGGAGGTGGCGTGTTACTACGCAGAAGCAAACCACCAGTTTCCTTGGAATTAAAATTTGGCCACAAGACTGAATTGGCGTTTAACATCCACTTTCTGTGGGTAACAGCGATTGTGGTGTCCTCAAACTCGATGAAGTAGATGCAAAAAAGTTGTCACGCGTAACTTTGCCATGGATGGTAAATGAGCAAAAATAAGCATTACCACATTCACATACTTCGATCAGTTATGTGAAAACTGCATAAAATCAGTCTTAAAGGGCAGCGTTTAACTGGAAATCAATGAGTACAATCCACAGATTGGTAACCCGTGAACAGTCAAAAAGTCATCTGGGAAAATGATCACCTTATGGAAAAGAACACGATATTAGCAGCGGAAACTTTCTTTACGGTGTCCATTGAGTTCATTGAGTTGTAGAGAGCAGGAGAGAAATCCCTTGTCAGCCCCATCGATTCCGTATCATACTGGGTTTGATGCGTGTCGTTGCGTTACGATGTTCCTCGAGGGTTCGTCGTAATTGCAGTGACAGCCGCAAGATTCCAGCATTCTCAGCGAATGTTTGTCTAGCAGCCGCTTGAAACTTTCCTCGGATGGAGCGTCTGCTATTGCTTCCGGTAAGCTGTTCCAGTCATTCACCACTCTAGTGGACAGGGTGATGTCCTTGCGAATTTTGTGTCTTCTTTGCTTAAACAGCTTCCATGTGTGCCCTCGGGTGGAACAGTCAGTGTTGGGCCGGAAGAATTGTTGTAACTCACTTCCAAGTTCCCCTCGGAGGATGCGTCTAGTGTAGATGAGGTCACCCCGGCGACAGCGGAGCTCGAGGGAGAACAGATTTAGCTTCTGGAGTCGAATGGAGTATGGGAGATCACGTAGCCCCAGAACAGCTTTTGATGCACCTCTCTGAACCTTTTCCAGCAGAGCGCTTTCGAACTTTGAAAGCGGATGGCTAGCTGGTAGGCCATATTCTAAGACTGGACGGACTTACGAAGTGAACAACGGTCGAAAAATCTCGGGAGTCATTCGAGCGAATGATCTTCTTAAGGCACCTACCAGTCTCCTTCCAGTGGCCACCTTCTTTAACGTGTCCTGCGTCGTTCTAAGGTCAGAAGTCACGATAACCCCGAGATCTCTCTCGTGGGTGGTATTCCTAAGGAGAAACCCACCAATGTGGTATGCACCGTAGGGTTCGGTGCCACCTATTGGGAGAGCAGCGTATTTATCTCGGTTTACTGGCAGTTCCCATTTGATGGACCATTCATAGGTTCATAGGATTGTAGAGAGGAGGAGAAATCCTTTGTCAGCTCCATCGCTTCCATATCATAGTGTGGAGACCGCGATTCGATGTTATGCGGTAATCCACAAGGGACCTTGACACCTACACTGGAAGCTGCAAGGACCCATCGTACTCAAAAGATAAGAGTCTAACATTCGTTTCAAACATTCCTCCGTCTGGGCATCGACCACATAATTCGGCAAGTTATTCCAATCGTTGACTACGCGAGTTGATAGAGCGAGAGCAGGATGAATCCGGTCTTCTGGGTTTAAACAGTTTCAGTTATGGCCTCGAGCTGAACTGTTTGGATTGGATTGAAAGCACGCCTGCAGCTCCGTCCCCATCTCTCATCTCAGGATGCGCCTGGTGAAAATCAGGTCACCGCGACGTCGGCGATAATCCAGGGTGAACAGATTCATCCGCTGAAATCTCCGGGGATAAGGCAAGTCCCGTAACTCCAAGATGTACTTCGATGCACGCCGTTGCACCTTCTCCATTAGGTCACACTCGAACTTGGTGAGAGGGAAGAGGGCAGGTAGTCCGTATTCGAGAATGGGGCGGACATGGGAAGTAAACAATAGTCGGAAGATATCCGGAGTCAAACGCGAGAAAGCTCGTCGTATGGCGTGGGACATCCTGTTGGCAGCAGCAACCCTTCGTAACGTGTCCTGTGTAGTTCGTAGATCAGATGAGACCAACACGCCGAGGTCTTTTTCTAGGATTGAGGTTCTGAGCAACGTCCCACCGATGTGATACGTCCCGAAAGGCTCAGAAGCACCAGTGGGAAGGACCGAGCACTTATCGCGATTTATGGGCAATCGCTATTTGACTGACCACTAATGTAACGTGTCAAGTGTAGCCTGTAATCGGTCCGCTTCGTCAAGACAGGATACCTCCATCCACAATTTCAAGTCATCAGCGTAAATCAAGCAATCCAACTGAAGTTCCGCCGGGAAGTCTGTTATAATCTTCTCACTAGACGCAACTCCAAAAATAACAATTAACTGCTCCGCAAAACTTCTAGCCCAACCGAAGGAAAAAAGCAGAACGCCAATGACCCTGACAAAAGAACGTATTAATCGCAGCCAACGAACACTGTACAACGACTGAGGACCCTGGCTGTATTTATAGGTCTCTGCTGACCTTCGACTTCTAGAATTGGAGGGTCAGCTGCCAAGGTTAGCGGTTCCCCATATCTTTTGCCGAGAGGTCAGGTGGATTTTGATCACGTGTAGAAGAAGAACATTCAGGAACGTTCGAAATCGATGCGATAATCGTTAATAATCGATTAATCGCTAAAATAGGGAATTTCCAAGGCAATTCTTACTTTCTCCCGGACACCTCCCCTCCTGAGATATGTTCCGAGGTGTAAGAGGAAAGCCTGGGGTCAACTTGCAGTCTTCGGGACGGTGTTCTCTGCCTGTCGGTCCACCTCCTTGGCAGAAGCGCCCGAGAACTTTGTTCCGATGTTCTTGTTCTGGATTCGTTGCTCGACCTTGGGCAGTCGTCCACTGTTACCTTCGGCAGGTTGAAAGTTTCCACCAGTAAATCGAACGGGAGGTCAGTAGGCCTTTCTTGTTCTGGCTGACACAATGTGGGCCGTAACTGGTTTGCATGCCGCGGCCAGACCTGTGCGCCCACCTTCACGTCATACATGACGTTTCCGCGCTTGCTTTTGACCGTCCCTGGCGTCCATTTTGCATGGCCTTCCCGGTAGTCACGTACTAGCACCTTCTGTCCAAGCGTGAATGATCGCTTCTTTGCTCCATGCCGCCGGTTAAACTCCTGTTCCATTCTGCGGTTTCTTTCACCAACAGAGGACTCCGAGCCCGGTCGGATGGCGTCGAAAGGCATGCGGAGCTTCCGGTTCATCATAACCTGTGCTGGAGAGACTCCGTCTGGTGCTTGTGGATTAGGTGTTGATCGGTAGAGGAAAAGGAACCGGTCAACCACCTCCTCTATACGTCCCTCCCCTTTTGATTTTTGGAGGGCTCGCTTGAATGTGTCGACAAATCTTTCTGCCTGGCCATTCGACTGTGGGTGGAACGGCGGCGAGCGAACGTGCTGTACGGCGCATTGCTTGCAAAACTCCTTAAACGCTGCTGAAGTAAATTGGGAGCCATTGTCAGTGACCATTGTCTCAGGACAGCCGAATCTACGAAAGGCTTGGCGCAGTTTCGATATGGTGGCATTGGTGGTGGTGTTATCCATGAGAAATACTTCTGGCCACTTGCTGTATGAGTCGACTATAATGAGGAAACTTCTCCCGTTGATCGGCCCTGCAAAGTCGACATGAATGCGGGACCACGGCTTAGTAGCTATTGGCCATGAACAGAGTTCTGCTTTCGATGGCGCCTTCAAGACATCGGCACACTTTTGGCAGCGTCTGGCTATTTCTTCTAACTGTTTGTCCATTAAGGGCCAGTATACATAACTGCGGGCAAGCGCCTTCATCCGGTTGATTCCAGGATGCCCGGCGTGGAACTGTCGAATAAGGCGCTCCTGAAGTGTCTTGGGGATGACCACTCTTTCCGAAAATAGTATGCAATCGTTTACAATAGAGAGTGAGTGTCTCCTCTGAAAATACTGTTGCAACTCGGCAGATGGACATGAACGTGGCCAACTTGTTTTGTGAAACTGAGTAACCTTCTTGAGTATTGGGTCCCGAAGTGTTTCGGTCCGCACAGCTTCTGCGGTAACTGGTAGACAGTGCAGTGCATCAGTTACCAGAAAGTTGACGTCTGGTTCAATCTCCACCGAGGCAATGATTGTGTCTTCATGTTCTTGCTGACGGGTATCAATTAGGCGTGACAGTGCATCTGCTTGGCCAATGGAAACTGTCGACTGATATTGGATCTCGAAATCATACCCCATTAAGGTAAGAGCCCAACGTTGTAGCCTGTTGGCTGTGTAGGCCGGGATGCCCTTTTTCG